TGCTAGTTTCTTCACTGTGACTTAAAACCTGCCCAAGTCTCCCCCAGCCTTAAAAAAAAGTCTTCCCCCGACCTTGCTATCTCCTCCCTTTTGGTGCCGAGCTCCTCAAGGGGGTTGTCTGCTCTCACTAGGCTCTCCCACACTATCTACTCACAGTCCAGCCCCTACAAATGAGACTTCCAACTCCACCAATTACCTAAAATTGTTACCCTCCAGGTTACCCTTAATCAGTCAATCTAAGATATCTGATGATCTCCCATTCTTCATCCTCCCTGACTTCTCTTTAGCTTTGAACACTTTTTTAACCACTGGCCCTTTCTCTAGCTGACTTGTTCAACTGTCATATAAGTTGTAAGTGGCTGAATCAGGATTCAAACAGGTCCTCTATTCCAAATCGAGTTACTTTCATTGAATCCTACTACTTCCCTGAATTGGTCTTGTAAAATACTTCCATTAAAATATTCTGTACCATGAAATTTCCTTGGGGACCCTCTGATCAACTTAGACAATGAAGGTAAACAGGATATTGTGTGTTGTTAAGGAGGCCAAAGAAAATGGGACCCAATCAACAAGCATTTATTAAGTGCCTACCATGTACAAGGCACTGTGCTGGATTCTAGGGATGAAAAGACAAACATGAAATACTTTTCCCTCTCAAGCAGCTTATATTTATATGACCCATGAGATTGGTTATTGGTGGGAGAAATTTCGTGGAAAAGTGAGGATCTCCAGCAGGTACCATGCCCCATTTTGTCAGAGACTCACTCTTTAGCTGTATTTTGTTTCAGTCTCTGACTGAAGGGAAGAGAACCTGACATAAATCATTTTTTTTAATGTGCATCTTAGGAAGGCTTGTATATCTCTCTGCAGTAAAGCAGACACCTTCCAAAATTCCTTGGAAATTGATTTATGTTGTATATGTCATGTTAGGAGATAATATTTAGAGATGTTAATGGGTTACTCTGACATTATGATTATGATTTATTGCATTCTCAGGATCACTAGATTTCCCTCTAGGTATTTCTTGTGGTTGGCATTCTCAGTGAGGCTAAAACACCAAAAAACAAACCCTCTTCCCTCCTTTCAGTAGTATCATTTCTGACCATGAAACTTCATACTGTTTAACTCCGTAATGATGGTTTGCTTCCTCACCCCCAAAAGTCAATATGCCACTATTGTCAAGTTCAAAATCTGAATTCCCAAGCAAAAAATGTTACGGTTGCTGACAAAGTTTCTTTTTGCTAATTATTCTAATAGATATTTGTCCAGATAAAAAGGAACTTTCAAGAGTCTTTAAATACTTAAGTGTAACCTATGTGCTCAGTGTTTTGCTAGGCACTGGGGGCCAGGGAGGGAAGCAAACACTTGTAATATTTCATGGCCCTTATCTTGAGAAGCTTATAATCTACCGTCAGTCCTTCAGATTGTGATATCATGGGTGTGGCTTATCCCTGCCTTCTCCTTCTGTGTGTTACTCATCATTGTCCTACAAATACACTACAGAGTAGAGAGGCTCTACCCAATGTGTCATAGAACTTTCTCTAGCCTTTTAATATGCTGTGGATACTAGTATAACAGTCTAGCTGTCCATCTCTTATCCTTCTCTCATTATATGATTGGCTCTTTTCTTTTTCCAGGCAGACATGTCCTTGAGGAAATATGGACAGCTATAATTACAATTAAGTTTAAATGGAGCATTTGGAATATTTTAGAACTTGCAAATGCATGATACTGGAAAAATGTGATGCAAAACTGAATTAATTAAGCCGATTAATATTTAGGTTTTTAGATTCTCATCTCATGGAAAACCAAGATCTCAGGGGTATTAAAGTTACAAATAACCTAAAGGGTTATGATGGGCATGAGAAGACTATAGTATATTAACAACAACTTACCCTCGAGGTTTCACATATAGTACACTATTTAGGGTATATATATACAAATACTCACATATATGTACATGTCTACACACACATACATGTACATTCTACACATACATACAAAACAATGTGTGCCATGAATAATTATATGTATGTGTATGTGTGTATAAATATACGTACATATATGAATGTGTACCAAGTTAGCGTGGGATAGATCCATGTGTGTACATATACATACACATATATTTCTATGTTTATATGTGAATATATATATGTGTGTGTGTGTGTGTAGTTATAGTAGCATATACACGGGCATATTGTACATATACATAGACACATGTCTACATGAATTGCTAGAAAAACAGATGAATTGTTCATGTACCAAGAATGAGAAACAATAGGTAGATAGCCTGATTGGTGCTATCCCCAAAGCAATATAGGTCATGAAATAGAACTGGAAGAGATCTTAGAGGTTATCTAGCCCATCCCCCTTTTTTACATGAGGATCCAAAGTCACATCAATAGTGACAGAATACAAACTCAGGTCCTCTGATTCAAAGCTCAATGCTCTTTTCATGACCTGGTGGTGAAGGCCTCTCCTGTGCAAGGCGTATCTGCCATGGAACATTTGTAGAAGCTTAGAAACAAGAATCAAGCAGAATGAGAAGGCATGGAGGGATGTACACCTCTGCCTCAATAGGGAATCCACACTGCTGGCTCCAGAAGCTGTATTGTGTCCAGCAGCCACACCCTGGTTAAGCTGACAGGCTGAAAACTAAGTTGAAAGTAGTTGATAAACCTCAAACCTGTTAGTGAGTTAGAGGAGGTGTCTACCCCTAAGTAGGCGAATACTTCCCTGATGGAATGGGCAGATGGGAACAATTTGTTCCGACAGCCATGAAGGCAGCTGAAGCAGGTGCTATGAAGCTTCTGGAGATCAGACATCAAAGACACCAAGGTCATCCACTGAATCCCAAGCCATCATCAGTCATCTTGACTTTTGTCCTGTCACTGGACTTCAGTGACTCAGTAAGAGAGAGTGAGACTGATAACTTTGTGCAATTCTGCCTCACTTAAATCCAATTCATGGGCAAGTCAAGCTATCACCCATGATGTCATTGATTCTCTTTGAGAATGAAGAATGAACAGCTGAAGACTATTCATGGACTGAGATATGGAGGGTTGCCATCTTCATTAGGAAGGAAGTGCCAACACTGGTGAAAATTGCATATCCTTAAAATATTAAGCAACAAGTATTGATCAAGCCCCTACCAACTCTTAAGCCCTGTACTAGGTGCTGGGAATGAAAATGTAAAGAAAGAAATTATTCATACTCTCAGGCAGCTTACATTCTAAGAGGAGACAACAACATATATTAATATATACAGAATAAATACAAAATACTTAAATAAAAAGTACTTTGAGAGGTTCATGTAGAAAGTGGTGCTTGAGCTGCATCTCAGATGGTATTTTATGAGGCAGATGTAAGGAGGGAGAGGGCATTCTAGGCATGGAAGACTGGGGGACAGATAATGCCAAGACAAAGACAGGGAAGCAGATTGTGGAGAGACAGAGAGAAGGTCATTTTGACTGGATCTAAGAGTATAGGAGAGAGAGTAATGTACAATAATTCCTAATAATGACCAATAGCTCAAAGAACTCCTTCACAGAGCTGAAAGAAGAGTTTCAAAAAGACAAAAGTCAACTGTTAAGAAGCTCCATTGGGAAAGCTAGGATAGAGTGCCGTGCCTGGAGTCAGGAAGACTCCTTTTCCTGAATTCAAATCTGATTTCAGACACTTACTAGCTGAGTGACCCTGGACAAGTCACTTAGCCCTGTTTGTCTGTTTCCTTATCTGTAAAATGAACTGGAGAAGGACACGGCAGACCACTCCAGTATCTTTACCAAGAAAATGCCAACGGGGTCATGAAGAGTTGGTCATGACTAAATAACAACAAAGGAAGCTCCGCTTCATTTTGTTGCCTCTTTTCCTTAGCTGTAGGGACAGGTAGATGTTTGATCTTCCTCATCAAGTTATCTCTTCTTCCTCCACCACTGTCATTTGTAAGAACAAACATCAAAATCTGTAATAGTTTTAGAAAGAATTTATCATATCATTTGGTAGAGGAGAGTGAGCTAGAAAGAAGGTATGGCTCCCTCCCATCCAGTCTCTGGAACGTTTACACCACATAGGATTTAGACAAGGGTACTCACACACAAACCCACAGAAACTCAGGCAATTTTGTCAAAAGGGCAACTTGAAAGCAAGGTAGATTGAGATGGATATCAGTGAACATAAGCATTCAATAAAATTTGGGTGAATCCAAAACATGGGGAACACAAAACACAAGTTTGTATGGACCTGAAGTAAGAACTGTGTGAGTGGACCCCAAATAAAAATGTTTTGGGAGGACTCAGGACCTGGGGAACCCAAAACTCTTTGTAGCCATCTCCAGCATTTCTGGAGAGTTACTGTGGTCAGGTAACATTCTGGGTTCAATCTTTAATCACATAAAGTTAAATTTAAACAGTATGATAATTAAGTTTTCTGAATACTATAACAAAGCATTTTCCATACCTCCAAGGGGAGAAAGAGGAAGAGAAGACAGACAACCATAAACAGCTCTGATATGTCGTGTACCTTCCTGTTTGCCTCATTAAATGTCCTTCTCACAGCCAGAGTCTGCTCTAATTCTTATTTAGCCCTGACTATGTGGAGGCAGACCAGAGCATCATAGGACAATAGATTTAGAACTGGATGGGACCTTATAAGCCATCTCATCCAACTCCCTCACTTGATAGATGAGAAAACTGAAATCCATTGAGATGGAGTCCCTTGACCAATGACTTCCAGGCAGGAAGTGAACTCTCTGGACTTTAGTTTCCTCATCTATAAGGTCCAGGTAGCTCTAATAATTTTTGATCTACGGCAACTAATTGGCTTTTTATCCAAATAATCTTTAAGTTGACTGAATCTAGCCTCCTTTCTTTTTGAATAATCTCCAATCCTCTACACCACTTTTCTTGTAATTGGTGTTTTCTGTGGGATACTCCCTATTAAGAACTTATGAAGAAGCATTATAACTCCAAATGTTTATTGAGTGACTGCTGTGGGCATAAGCCTAGGGGTAGATAAGGTAGGCAGACACCTAAGATATAACATAGCAGAGACAGGGAAGTGGGGCGAGAGATACTTTTTAAATATTACTTGTTGTAGATGCACATCTTTCAGATGTCAGAAAATGTTGCTTTCCATGACATTCAGGCATTTATTTTGTGAAAAGTCAGAGTGCATGGGCAACAATGAGAGTTCAAAGCAGCTGATTGACACTGGAGCATGGTACAACATGGGAGGTACATCTTTGAACTTTGTCTCAGGTGGCTTGTCCTGGCTTTGCACATGGCATGATGGTAGGTCCTTCAGGATGTGGGCTGAGAAGCAGGAGAACAGGGCGTGTGCAGGAAGTGGCTAGCCTAATATTGGGAAGGAATGTACAACTTTAGGAAGGTGGAGTCTAAGCAATGCTATGGCTGCCAAATCTCTCAAAAGCTGCATTACTACACAGAGGCCCAAACTCAGGGATTTGATGCTTCCTAAATGTGTGATGACTTACTTTGTAGCAGATGGCGGCCAGCTGTTCTTCATCTCCTCTGAGGACAAACCCTAGGGAGAGAAAGGGATTTGAAATAAAGGGGCCTAAGTCTAAAGATGAGGAAGATTTTTTTTAACAATGAGGCGGTATGCACATATACAAAGTAAAATCAACAATTAAGGCAATTATTAAAATCAACTAAGGCCAAAAAAAAAATCTCCTTTACTTTAGCTGTCTGCTTTCTTGGGCATCAAGTGTTTTCTAACTACTAAATTGTCCAGGTAGAATCATAAGTTGGGCAGGCTGGGGTTGAGGAGGGCTTCTACAAGGGATGTTTACTTCAAAAGTATAGCAAAAACAAGCATGCCAACATTTTCCCCAAAACTTCAGGGATAGACTCTCCTCTATGCCATCTTGGTCTCTGAGAGAAGTAGGCTTATAGCATAGCTCATTTACTACATTAGCATTAGTCCCACCAAATTCACATCTAAGTGCATCATGACTGCTGAATGAGTTCTCAACTCAGCTTTTTGCTGGCCTGGGTCCAAAAGGTCACTGCTAACAATAGTTCTTTGCTGCTTGGGGCATTGACACTACACTGGTTCAAGAACCCAGATTCTGGAACAGCAGAATGCTGAAACATCCTCCTGACCTTTCCAAATTACAAGGTCATAGGTTCCATTCGCCTTCTCCCCAAAAGGAAAAGAACACAGAGGCCAAGGACCAAGGTCTTTCACAGAACCATATGGCTTCAGAGGGGAGAAGGCTCCCAGGCTTTGCCTCGTATAACTTGGGTTCTCACTGGAAGCTAGAAGTGGAGTCACCAAATGAAGTAAAGAAAACAGAATCAGTGCTTTAAAATAATGACCTCAATTTCCTTGTTCATGCTGTGATGTCTTGTTTTGTTGTTGTTGTTGTTGTTTACCATTATTAGGGATTAGATTCTTTTTGCCTTGGAGAGGCAGTATGGTATAGAGAGAGCATTGAACCTGGAATTAGAAGACATAGGTCCAAATCCCAGCTTTGGCAGTTAGGAACTATGTAACCATGAGCAGGCCTCTTCCTTACTTTTAACCTCTTTCTTCACCTGTAAAATGAGAATAATAATCCTCTTGCTATCTACCTCAGAGCATTTTGATGAAGAAAGTACTTTGTAAATCTTGAAGTGCTAAATAAATCTAAAGTATAATTATTATTCACTCTGGAAGCTTGAGTCAGTGGGAGGAAGTTGCAGAGAGGTAGATTATAGTTGGATAGAAGGATAAAACCTTACAAAAGTTGGCGCTGTCCAGAAGCAGAATTGGCTGCCTTGGTGAGGAAAGGCCTCTTGACCCCTGAAGGTCTTCACACAAGAGGCTAGATGACCACTGAAGGAGAGTATATAGCAGATTCCTACTCAGGTAAGGGTTGAATTATGTAATGTTTGAGATCCTTCTCAACTATAAAATGTGATAGGAGGAACCCCACCCCCATGATCAATTCTGCTTCCATTATAACTATTAGAATTGCTGATACATGACTTTCAAAGAGTTTACATTAAAGAATTAGGCATTTTAAAAGCTATGGGACTGTCACTACTATGGGTAGCTCTATTATTTAATAATAATAGTAATGGTATTTATATAGTACTTTAAGGTTTACAAAGTACAGATTATCTTCTTTCTATAATAGCAGGTACTATTATTATTCCCATTTTACAGATGAGGAAACTGAAGCAGTCAGTGGTCAAGTGACTTGCTCAGGGTCACAAAGTTAATAAGTATCTGAGGCCAGGTTTGAACTTGGGCCTTCCTGACTCTAAGTCCAATGTTCTAGCCATCATTAAAGGCTGAGACAGTTTTTGGAGCCTAGCTCAAGAACAAGAGTTTATTAACACCAAGTAGAGAGCCTGACTAGGAATCTTACAGTTAGGGCTGCCAGTTGTAATCTCAACCTAGTATTTTCAAATGCTCTTTGCCAAATCTTCCCATAAGTTGGGCAGGCTGGGGTTGAGGAGGGCTTCTATTCCCATGACAGTATAAAGAAGAGGACTAGGAACAGTCGTTGTAGAGTGGTTCCAATATTACTGTTTTGTCTAGCAAGAACTGGTTAATAACACTTCATTTTGTGCAGTAAAGAATAGGACAGGAGTTCTTAACTTTGTGTGTGACATGGAACCTTTTGGCAGTCTGGTGAAGCCCATGAACCACTTCTCAGAATAACGATTTTAGGTACATTTTAAAAATATATAGGATTACAAAAGAAACCAATTATATTGGTTTTTAATTTTTAAAATTCATGTTTTATTTTCAGTTCTGAATTATCATCCTTACCCTTCCCCACCCATTGAGAAGACTAGAAAAACAAAACCCATTACATATATGTATAATCACACACAAAATTCCTTCTATGCCCAAGGAAGGAAAGAAAGAAGGAAGGAAGGGCAAGAAAGAGAAGAAAATATACTTCCTTTAGAATCTGGAAAATATGAGTCCTTTGGAATTGTGGTTGGTCATTGTATTGCTTAGAGTTACTAAGTCTTTCAAAATTGATTAACTTTGGAATAGTTCTGTTGCTGTATAAAATGTCCTCCTGGTTCTGCTCACTTCACTTTGTGTCATTTCATACAAGTCTTGCCAGCTTTTTCTGAAACTCTCCCCTTCATCATTTCTTATAGCACAATAGTATTTCATCACCTTCAATATACCATAACTTGTCCAGCCATTCCACAATTGATGACTATCACCTCAATTTCCAATTCTTTGGCACCACAAAAATTGCTGCTATATTTTTGTACATATAGGTCCTTTTCCTCTTTCTTTGATCTCTTTGGGATATAGACCTCGTAGCAGTATAACTGGGTTAAAGAGTATGCAGAATTTAATAGCTTTTGGGGTAAAGTCCCAAACTGCTTCCCAGAATGAAACCAATTATAGTAAAATAAAGTTACCCAAATATTTAAAAACAAATTCTAGGGTAAGAACCACTGAAGTAGGATTTTAACTAGAAATTATATTTAAGAATGACTTCTTTTTAATCATATAACAGTAATTACAGCAATTGACCTTGAAGGCCTAAATTCAAATCTGGCCTCAGACACTTACTAGCTGTGTGTCCCTTACTTGGACTTCCACGTGAAGATAAGCAGAAGGAAAGGTGGCCAGCAGCATGTTGGAAAATATGGTTTCATATTAACAAATGAAAGAAGCTGAAGATTTGTAGATCACTCACACATCTCTCACCTATGTTATTGTCAGAAGTTCTAGCTGAATATGGAAAGCAGTGAACAGTATCACACCAAAAAAATGAAACTGGGATCTCTTAACAAACTGGAAATGACTGATTGGTCCTTTTGGAACCAGCAAAGGTCAAAATCACCTCCAAATGAGAAGAAAAGATAAAGATTTCATTTGTTATCAGAAGAAGGGCCACCATGGACTATGAATCAGGGAAATTCCTTAGTGGAGGAATTACTGATTAGTAGGCAGGTGAGGAAATTACTCCAGAGATAAATGAAGAGAAAATGTAATCCAAAAGCCAGATTTCACTGAGGACTATTTTCCAAGGCATCATTATCACCTCATGAAATATCAAAAAGCATTGGAGAAAAAAAAATAAGCCTGCAGAAAGCTTGTTGTGAGAACCATACAAACCAGGTTATTTCAAGAGCCTCTAAAGGTGATACTGGAAGGGTGATAACAAATCAACATGAAATGAAACAGATTTGTCAGGCTCTCTATTGATCTAGTCTCACTAATGATGAAAGTTGGAATGACCACATTTGGACTCAGTCATCTCAGTATCCATATTTTATGTGAAGAAATGGAAATTACATTCAAGAATATAAAGTTGGGAAGTGACTAGACTTGAACAAATAAATGCAGAAGAAATCCTTGATGCAGGTGGCACAAGTTCAAAGGCAGTGGGAAATTGATTTTCAAGATATTTCAAAAGGAAAGATTCCGAAATAACAGAAAAGGTCACAGACAGCATATTTACTACAATGGTGAACAAAAATACATTAAGAACTGTTGAGATATATGCCTATTTCCTCCTTCCTACAAGATACTTATAAGAATCAGCTAGGTTTGTATTGAGGGTGAAATATTAGAAAGGAACAGGCAGCTTACTATAGACTATATTTTCCATAGTCACACAAGGTATAAAAAAAATAAAAAAAATCCTGAAGTATTTATCATTTGTTAGCTTTTTTTTTAAGCTACATTTGACTCAGTAGAGTTGATTACTGCTTAAAGGCTCTCTTCCAAGATGTTGACCATATCTATGCTAACATTATTAAATGTTGTCCTTGGTAGATGAAACCACAAAGATAACTTTGATCAATATTCCTTTGAATACTAATATCAAGCAAGACAGGAAACAGAGAAAGATGCTTGCCAAAGGTGTTTGACAGTGCCATGGAGGATATTTTGTGCAAAGTCCAAATGGAAAAAGGATTTCCTGTAAATGGTGGAATTCTCCAGATGTTCTTGTTTGCTGATGATATTGTGCTTATTGCACTTAGCCCCGGAATATTACAGGGCTTCCTCAATTAGATCCATGACAACTCAAGATCTATTGGACTAATAGTCATCCACACAGTTAAAAAACAACAACAATAACAAATGGATGATGACTACATATTGCCCAGATTATCACATGTAATTGGATAGACAGACCATTGATTTAATCAATTAGTACATGTACCTTTGGACAAGGCACTGAAGCTGAAAAGTAAGCTGAACCCAGAATTGACTAGGAGGAAGAGCTACAGCTGGATTGAATTTGAGAATTGTGAAGTGCTTTCAATAGTTCCAAAGTGCTCCCTTATCAAGAAAGCCCATCTTTTTTTGTTTGTTTGCATCAATATTTTGCTAATGGTACTATATGGCTATGAATTACAGAACACCATGACCTCAGAGGAATTAAGTTTACATGTGATACAAAGGGCAATGGAAAGATGTATAGTGGGTACATGTATATTATAGTATATCACCAGTGATGACTTCCATGCATAATAGGAAAAAACTCTCTTACTTTTATCCATGAGCTATTCAAAGAAGGCCTTGAGCATGTTGGGTAGTTCCTTTAT